CTCCCCCTCTCCCGAGGTGTGAGCTTCTCTCCCTCCTCCCGCGGGTACACAGCGACACCGCAATATGTCATTTCTTCCTGCAACCCGTCGGAGCAGCTCTCAATCTTTGTTCTTTGTCAGAGAGGTGTGATAACAGCCTCTAAGTTTTCAGTAGGCTCAATGGATACCATTTTTGCTTTCTCAAATCCGCTTTTAACCGTTTTGCGAGACAACGCATTCCACGAATTCTTCGTCCACCTATTAATTGCTGCTGTGTAGGTGCTTTTATCTTAAACGGAAGCGTCGAAGTTGAAGCGCGTAGTTGTTTCAACATGTTCTCCACCCAATTTTTCCGCATTTTGTCTTTTAATGGCTTGTTCCACGAAATATCAGCCGGCTGGCACGCAAATGTGTAGCCAGCGGGTATAGCCATCAGTTCCACGTTCAATAGCCGAGCGAAAATATGGACGTCAAGGCGCCAATGTCCCGAAAATTTCTTGCAATGAGCTGGTGGATAGTTACAGGTTAGCATGTTTTTTGTACTCTGAATTAGGAGATCTAGACTTGTGCGCTGTTCTATTCTCGATATGTGATTGGTTGGAGGGCAGTCTGAATTAAGAGATCACTCTGAAGTAGGAGATCTCAAATACGGTATGGACTTTTCTGGTAGCGATAGGGTAGCTATTTAGCTGCAAACTGGTCGAGACGGCAGACAATTTGGTACTTTTGCACGCTCCCCCTGCGGGGGAAAGATTCCCTTCCAGCCTCTAAGTTTTCAGTAGGCTCAATGGATACCATTTTTGCTTTCTCAAATCCGCTTTTAACCGTTTTGCGAGACAACGCATTCCACGAATTCTTCGTCCAACCTATTAATTGCTGCCGTGTAGGTGCTTTTGTCTTAAACGGAAGCGTCGAAGTTGAAGCGCGTAGTTGTTTCAACATGTTCTCCACCCAATTTTTCCGCATTTTGTCTTTTAATGGCTTGTTCCACGAAATATCAGCCGGCTGGCACGCAAACGTAGTAGCCAGCGGGTATAGCCATCAGTTCCACGT